TCAATGAGGTCATGAACACAGGGATGTGAACACCAGCTCTCACAAGCGAACACCCGTTCATCGAGGGCTTTCAGCTTTGTGTATTGTTTGGAGGTTTATTTTCTCTGTCACTAAGGGTGGCTCCCAGGGCCTTATGCACACTAACCACTGCTGCTGGTCAACAATGGCAGCCTCTCCTGTGTGTTCTGAGCCTACATCACCGACAAGGCTCAAACCCCCAAATACAACAAGGCATACAGTGGGGAGTCTCTCCTCTCTTGCACTGTCCCTTCCCAGGTGAGCACATTTCACGCCTGTCCTCTCAGGGTAGTGGCTACTGCACAGGCAGGCCCCTGTAAATGTGTATTCTGTCCTTACACAAGGCAACATGGCTACACAAGTGGCAGCTTTTCGTTTTCATCTTCCAGCAGAGCTTCTAGATCTTTCCACACAACCTCTCTTCTATTTGACCAGCACATCTCACAGGAAGCTTGGTGTACACACCACCAGGCCTGGCTCTGAGGAGGGCTCAGGGGCCACATGGCACCATTCTGCAGAGGCACAAAGCCTCCAGGACCCAGACCCGTTCAGAGCATCTTTACATGGACCTGCATCTTGGGGCTTCTTGGTTCAAAACTTCCAGGAACTTCTGGGACATGTTGACACACTCCTTTAATTGGAACACTAGAAAGGCAGAGGTAGGTAGATCTCTGGAAGTTCAAGGCCAACATTGTCTACATAGTGAGTTGAAGCCAGACAGAGCTACATAGCAAGACCCTGTTTCAAAAAGCAAAATAAAACAAACAAACAAAAAGTCCCAGGAAATTTCAAACTCCCTGCTGCACACATCATACCTTCTCTGTTCCTACAGCCCCCCTAAGCCTAGGCTACAAGGTAAAATCTAGGCCAGCCCCTCCACCCAACAAGACTGTCTCAAAACCAAACGACCAACACACATACACACACACACACACACACACACACACACACACACACACACACACGAACGGCCTCCAGGTCCACCTGGGTATGTATCTGGCTGTCTTTCCCTCCTCAGTATGTTCCCATCTGAATCCCCCATTTCACCCCTCCAGAGAGAAAATCAGCTGCATAGCAACACGCACAGCATCTGCTTCACCCACCCCCAGCCCCCGTAACATCTGCACCTGTACCTGGCCTGGATAAAATGTTACACAGTCATCCCTGCTGGTGGCCATGTTAGAGGAGCATCAGGTGACAACTGAAATTCAAGGTCAGCCCACCAGGAGGCAACTCCTTGATGGGTGAATCTCGGATAGGCAAGGCCCTGAGACCATAGACCCCCTGAAGGTCTTTTGCTTCTGCTGTGCCTTCACATGTTTGCTGCTGCCATCTTTCTCTGGTATCTGGCATGGTGTGGATGGGTGTGGGGAGATCCCCACTACCTGTAATGTAGTGTATTTATCTCATGGAAACATCCTGTTTACTGGGCATTTTAACCTGTGGATTATTATGATGATTTCTTCTTAAGCTGTGCTGTCTAATTGATAATAATAATAATGTTAGTTTAAATAGCGTTTTTGGTGTTTAAAAAAATAAACAAGGAAGTGTCACACAGCTACAACACATAAGTTCCTATTGAGGAGCCATATAGACTATGGCTTAAGTTAATGATTAAGAAAAACAATTGAAGCCGGGCGGTGGTGGCTCACGCCTTTAATCCCAGCACTCAGGAGGCAGAGGCAGATGAATCTCTGTGAGTTTGAGGCCAGCCTGGTCAGCCTGGTCAGGCTCCAAAAACTACACAGAAAAACCCTGTCTTGAAAAAAAAAAGAGAGAAAAGAAAAAGAAAAACAGTAGAGTCCCAGTTAACCAAGCTAGATTAAATTCTTTTAACCTTAATGTTGGGAGATGTGTTCACAGGTTTCAGTGTGCATCACAGCTGAAACAAAGCTTTGAAAATAACTTAAAGTTAGACTAAGATGTTTTTGTCAAATAGCCTTGAGGTCAAAAACCCAAGAAGATAATCTAAAGTTTTAGGCAGGTACATAGTTGAATACAGAACTCTTTAAGTTCAGAGAACAAGAACAAAGCAGCCCAATTATTACTAGATGACGTACTTTCCTTGCTAGCATTGGTTGATGACCAAAGGCGATGATTAATTCCTTGTACCCATTTTTGCCCTCAATCTCCTGATATAAAAAAACTATTGATGAGTGGGTATGTACCCTAAAGATTTAAAGTAGAGCTGACTGATTCTTTTTCATATATAAAAGTTTAGATTTGTGATTCCTTTAGGATTCCTTATAAGATTACCTTTCAAGATAAGTAATAAAGTAATTGGCCCTTTCTTTATAACTGCAAAACTGCAGCCTGCCAGTAAAAGACCTGACTGAGAAAACTATCTTGCTTGCCTACATGGTTGATCTATAACAAGTTCCTTGGGTATGAATGTAAGTGGGTTCTTGGGATAATTTATTTTTTACCTGTAATATGTAAAATGTTTAATCATGTAAGGGATATGGAAAACATGCTGTTTTGTTACGGTTTGTTTTGTAATCATTCACTTGAAAAACAGAGTGTAACCAAAATATTATTTTTATATTGCCTGAAAGATTTTGCTCAGGTATATAAACTGTAAGAAAATGAATCAAGGAAGAGTTAAAATAAGCTAGAAGGAAAACATTAAGAATAAGAGTTAAAAGGAAAGCATCAAGAATGAGAGAATTAAAGTGAGTTAGGAGGAAAATATCAGGAATTAGAAAGTTAGAAGGAAAATATTAAGAATGAGAGAGTTAGAAGGAACTAGAAGGGAAACATCAAGAATAAAGACAGAGTTAGAAGGAAAACATCAAGAACAAGAGAAGGGAATCACCGGGAAAATAAAGAACAGAGAATGCAAAAGAAGAATAAAGAAAAGGTCTGAAGGAAATCATCAAGAGAATATGTGAGTATCTTTCCCTAACCCTCTCAGATTTAAAAAAAAAAAAAATCTAGTACATGCCGACTCTATGGATTTCCCTTTGGGCCCTGTGCTGCTGGAGGCTGGACCCCCCAGGCAGCGATACGTCCCCATCTCCACCTCCTTACTGCATGCTCACAGGCACTAGAAGATGCCAGAAATCTCTACCATACAAAAGAAAAGACTGAGGCCCAGTGAAGGGGGCAGGCAGCCAAGCTCTAGACCAGCTCCCTAGCAGGAAATCTCCAAACAACACCAAGGAGAGGTCAGCAGCTGCCCGCTCTCCATGTCCTATGAGCCATGGACAGGCAGCCACAGGTCACAGGGGTGCTCAGCATACCTACAATCAGCCACATGCAAAGGATGAGTGTGGAAGGCCACCGAAATCTCGTCTTAGAATAACCCATTGGCTAGCCCACTCTGAGCCACACATCCAGCAGCTGCCTGCCGGAACGTGAGCTTGGCTTGCATGGTCTCCTGAGTCCATCTCTCTGGCTTCTTATTTGCCAAGGGCAGCTGGAGGGATGATACAACAAAATTGCTCACAGCCTCGCTTCTAAATCTAAGGTACAAGGCCAGCAGATGGCCGAGAGGACACACCTGAACAGTGCCATGGATTTGCCCAGACTTTGTGGACTCTACCTGGTGCCATAGGAGTCACAGCAAAGGGGACTGTCACGCTCATCAGACACTAAAGGGTCATGTAGCCAGGCTGTGTGTGATCTTATTCCTGAGCCCTGGGTTCAGCTCCGCTGTGATCCTAAGGAGCAGTTTATTTGCCTCCGGTCATGGCAGGAGCATTTATCGAGCACCTATATGTGTCAGCAGTGGATGAGACTCAGGAAGCTCCAGAGCCACTGACATCAAGGTCTCTCTTTCTCAGGGTTCAATGCTGGAAGGGCAGAGAGCTTTGTTTGGGGGTGTGAAAACCAGGAGCTCTGACCTTCCTCTGGTGAGGACACCAGGCCATCACCCCCACAGACCAGCACAAAATGTCTACCCCATCACCGAGATCCCCTGTAGACCCGAGTCCGGGACACTCCCACCTCTGTAGTAACCAAGGTACTCACTGAAGGCTTCCTGCCCTGGCGGAGCCTAGCCTGGGCCCACTCTTGAGGTAGTAACGCATTCAAAGGGCCACAGCCAAAATAGGTCTCTAACGGTCAGACAGGAGCCTAGAAGGAAGGCCTGGCGGGGACAGCAACCAACGGTGTGCCTGGCCCGTCCCCAAGGATGGCAGGCAATCAGCACTGGGTGAAGGAAGCCACAAAAGCATAATGAATCCTGAGCACCGGGGCTTGTATTTTTCAAGAAAAGACGGAAATCCGGACTTTTCTGTGAAAGCTGCCAGTTAGTAAATGCTGGCAGCTAATTAAATTTTTAAAAACAATAATAGCATATTGAGAGCCAAGCAAAACATACAGAGCCAATCACGGCTGGGGTTGGTGGGTCTGTGCCTCAAGTCAGAGGCTTTCTACATACTAGATGGTGGGGTGGGCGGAAAGTCAAGGGGTAGGTACCGGCCCTTGGCAACACCTCCCATCCTGCCTTTCCTCTTGGGGGTCCTGCACCCCGCCCCCCCCCCGCCCCCCCGCGCTTGGCACCTCGGGAAGGTGAGGTCGGCATTCCCTCCCAAACATGCATCCCTTCCACTCAGCGCCAAGCCCAGGGAGCCCTCTGCTGCCACCCAAGTCACTCAGCCTCTCCTGGGGAGGGCCTGGCTCATCACCCTCTGAGCAACATGCACCCACACCACAGCCTCCTTTTTGTCCTCTCTGGACTGTCCCAGGACACCTGCTGGCTCAGAACAACTTCTGACTGGCCTGAGTGTCCATCATCACAAAGCAGATGGGCAAGATCTCAGGACGGCAGAGGAGGACGGCGTGGGCACCCTTGCCTAGGAGACCAGGATGAAGGAGGGACGAAACAAGAGGTTGTGAGACTCCAAGCCCACCCCCTGAAGACTGAGTCCCTCCTGTGCCCCACACACACACACACAGCCACCCAGGTCATAGCAAGAGTGAGCCAAGAATAACACCAGCAGCCACCCTCTTCTCCCTAAGCCAAGGCTCCCACTCACCAGGAGAAACAGAGGTGCTAGGGGCCACGATGCTGTCTGTGCACCTGAATGTGAGGGCCCTCTGTGTCCTCAGGCCTGTGTGGAGATGTATGTAAAACAGTGGACGGAGATAAGCATGGCACACTAACTGATGTTGGGCCAAACTTGTTCTGGGGTGTCGAAGGCACACGTGTTTAACACGGTCACATTTGCGTGTCTGCGGGATGCTGGAAGGACAGGCCGGTGTGTGTGGAAGCACGCGTGCAGAGGGATGTGGGAGAGGTGAGTGTGCACAGCCCCTGCGTGAGAGATTCTGGACTGGGGGGTGGGGTGGCCCGCGCCTCTGCAGAGTTTGCAGTAACTTCTGCTAGCGTGAGGGCGAGTACGTGTGTGGCAGTGTGTGACTGCGGGTGGGGTGGTGCCAGACTGAGAGGCCCAGTCTTCCCTGCTGTGGTGGTGGTGGTGGTGGGGGATGATCCTGGGAGACCCCGAGGGACAAGGCTGGGGATTGGAGGGCCGGAGAGACGCAGCCAGGGGTCAAGAGAAGATGACCGACCTGGAGGGAGCGCGGCGTGGAGACTGAGGGCCCCGTACTCACCCGGTGCTCTGTGCTGCGCTGCGCCGCCGGCCGTCCATCGGTGCACCCGCCGTCGGTGAATCCAGAGCCCGGGTTGCGCGCGGCTCGGGGCGGGGAAGAGCGGGACGAGCCAGGCCTTAAGACCCCGCCCAACAGGTCCCGCCTCGGGGCGGGGCCTCGGCTTTTGCCAAGACATCTTCGCCCAGCCCCAGGCTCAACACGCGCGCATAGGAGTCCTGGCTCTCTTGTCCCGGTCTCTGAGCCCCCTCTCGGCACCCGGTCTCGGCATCGCGTCTCCGCGTCCTGGCTACACTTTGAGTCTCAGTACTGCGCCGCCCTTCTGCTTCTCCTCGTGGACCCAGTACTCTTGAGCATGCTGTGATGGCCAGAAGTGGTGCCCAGGCACAAAGCTGCCCAGAGGCAGGCCTGCAGAAACTAGGCATGGGCGCACCTACATCTCAGTTCTCCACAGTCTAGATCACCCTGCCCTTTTTCCAGCCTGGTTCTGTTGCCTCTCCATGGTGTGGCTTGGCCAATCCCCTTGACCCCTGTAAGTGGGGAGATGTGGAGAACCCTATCATCCACAGCACAGGGCCCAACAGGCAATAACGCTCTGTAAGTAATAAACTCAAAACAAATCATTACAGGGTCCTTGGCTCCCCATCCCTCGAACGATGCAGGCAGGTATCCTAGTGTCTGGTTGCCACTACCCATTCTCAACAGGCCCAGGGCCTGTGCGTGATAGAAAGCAGACAGTGAGCCTCACTGTCTGGGATCCAAGACTACAAACCACCTCCCATACCTGCCAGAGATGCATGCCCCTGCAGCCATTACCCCTCAGCCTCACAGCGGCTGAGGTCCAAGAGGAAGACCCCTGTGGCCCAGAACAGGTGTGAGGCAGCCAAGAGCAAACAAAAACAGAGAAGGGAGACCCTCTGCCTAGGGTTATGTAGCTGGGGCCAGAAAGAGCCAGGGACTCAGAGGAACCAGGATGGGATGTGAGGACCAAAGCTGAATGCAAAGGTCTAACCCAGCCTGCCTCAGCATCTGTCTAAACTTGACAGGCCTTCTCCCGTGGGTCCTTTCTACAAAGGGTCTCTCAGGACCTTTGCATGTGCTGTTAACCTCTACCTGAAAATCTCTCCCCCAAGACTCCAGGGCTGGCTCATCCTCGCTTTGAGATACAGCTTCAATATCCCCACTTGTCCTCTCTGAGACCCCCCCATCAGAGACACTCTTTCCTGCTACTTGGCTGCACTCTCTCCCTGGCTACCCTTCTTGAGATTGATTTATAGATGGTCATGGGTGGAATAACCTCGCAGTTAAGAATTCTGTCATATGCAGCTGTGCGGACTTAGGCACGTCGCTTCCCTCTGAGCTTTGACTGACCTCCTCAACTGTCAATGGAACAAAAAGGCATGAAAGCCTACATCGGGGGTGTTGAGCTGACATCCCAAAGGGGAGTGCTTCGTAAACAGCATATGAGAATAAACAGCAGATGGCCAAAAGCAAGAACGCAGAAAGTATGGGTCCTTTCCCCACCGGGGGTCCAGGTCCCAGGTCCGGGGAGGAGAGGCAAACAGCCAATGTTCAGGCTCGGGCTGCAGACAAGGAGCCAGGGCCTGGCTGTCTTTCCACCAGATAAAGCAGAGGCTGTTTTCCCACCTCCGTCATTTGAGCCAGAGTTGTGGCTGGCCTAGAGCCTGCCAGGACTCTTATCGAAGACAGAGTATGCATCACCCATCAGGAATTTGGGGCCGGGGCTTGGCTGACACAGAGTCGAAGGAAGTTATGGGCTGATAAGGCCCAGACAGAGTGTCACGGGGGGCAGAGGTGTTATTCACACCAGTGCAGATCTCATGGCCTCCCTGGGCACTGAGGCGCCACAGCCAGCAGGCATGGTGGGTCACCTACACCACCTGGACAACTGGACTTGGAAGAAAGGGCTCATAGTCTTTGGGGGAGGGGACTGTCTCCATACCTGGTATCCTCAGGAAGGCCACTGCCCCACTGTAAAGGCACAGGACACCATCTAAGGGCTTGAGAAGGTAGGCTCTGAGGCTAGACAGCCTTGCATTAAAGTCCTGTCTGAGTGGCCTTCAGTCTTAGCTTCAGTGTCCCCATGTTGGAATTGTGTAGAAGATGCTGGAAGCAATGGCTCGCCATGCTAAGCCCTTGGCTTCACATTGGTTGCTACTATATTCATTACACACCTTCTCCCTGGGCTGGCTGTGGGAGAAAGTGTATAATGTCACTGGGACTCAGAATTGGAAGGAAAAGAGCACCCACAGGAACCCAAATCTTGCTATCATCCTAATCAAGCTAATTAGGTGAGAGCTCCAGGCAACTGGGCACCTCTGTCTTAAAATTAGATGGGCAGTGTTCTTGAGGAGTGGCACCCAGCAGTGTTCCCTGGCCTCCTCCTGCACTGGCACACATGGAAGCAACACACACACACACACACACACACACACACACACACACACACACTCACACACATCTTTCCCCTTCCTACCTCCATTTATTTAAAAACATCTTTTATTGCATTCTGTTTTCAAGACTCCTGCTGGAAGCTATCCTCCTGCCTCTGCGGCTGATGTGACCCTCAACTTCCAATAGTGGCTCTTCGATGCTCCTACCCCCTCTGCATCTCCTCTCCTGCCCTCGTTTTAACATTACAGCCACAGTGAGGCTCCCCAGCTGCCAGGGAGAAGAGGACAGGAGCTGTCAGAGCCACCAAGACTCTCCAGCTATGGCTTGAATACCCTTTGAGGGTCCTCAAGTTTCTGAGACCTTAGTGTCCCCAAGGCTCCTAGCAAGGGGGATCTGGAGGGTAGAAATGTTGCATTTCTTCAGGAAATGGGTCTGGTGGAGCATGGTTAGGTTGTGGGGCCTCCACCCTCAGATGGGATTAATGAGTCTCTCTCAGGCCCAGCTCACTGAGATGTTGTTGTAAAGACCCAGCCTGCCGCCCCCCACCCACTCTGACTTCCCGTCTCGACATGTGATCTGTCCCTCTCACAAAGTTTCCACCATGATGTGGTGCAGCCCAGGGGCCCTCCCCAGGATGCTAGCTCAGTCATCTCAGCTCTCCCAGAGTCTGAGCTAAGTAAGACTCTTTTCTTCACACAGCAGCAGAAACTGAATAAAGATAACTTTCAAAGATGACAGCCAGTGACTTTCAGAGGTCAGTCCATTCCCCCCCACCCCCCGATCCTGTTGTCCCACAAAGACACTGGGCAGCACTACCCCAAACAGTCATGTATGATAGTGAACGGAAAACTCTGGTGCTTTATGTCTTTATCTGAAATACAAATGTCTACACTGCCTAGGTCCACTTCTCTAGTGGGTGGAGTGGAGCAGCCGAGTTCTCAGTAATCCCCAGGTACCTGATAGGTTATAGTACAGCTGGGCAGAAGGCCTTCCCAGATTTGTCCCTTCATAGAGAGTGAAATGTCTACAAGAAAAAAGGAGGAAGGCCACCTGGAGCCTTCTAGAGGGCAGCACTCCACCTGGAATTCCTGCCTGTGCATGTCCTTCCTGGGCCCTGCCTCCTCCCCAGAGTGGCTGCACCACCAGCCTACATATCTCAGACCCCTGGGGAAACCTGGGACAAGAACTAGCAGTTGACATGCAAGGCACCGGATACAGAGAAACAGTCAATGGTTAGGGCCAGGCTCAGGCCCTCTCTGATCTGGATCCCCACCTCTCTAGCCCTTCACTCACTCACACCCCCATCTTGAAGGCTAGAACTGTGGTCTTCACCTGTGAGAAGCTGGATTGTCCTCCAGGGGACATCCCAACCTCTCTGCCATCCAGCTCATCATGAATCTTTTCCATCCACCCAACTCCTTTCTGCTTGTGGCAGGAACTAGACCCCTACCCATCCTTTGGTTAGAATTTACCCATAGGAAGTTCAGATGGGCATGTGAGCCTGGCTAAGGACTGCATTTCCTGCTGCTACAGCCACAAACATTCTGGACCACTGGAGAGGAGCAGGAATGATATGACCAGCTTCCAGAAAGGACAAGTCTACCCTTTCCTTTCACTTCCAGCTGGCTGGACACAGGTCATGCCCTGTTCGAATGGAAGGAGCCCTTGGGTATGGCAAGCAGCCTTACCTGCCCTGGAGCTTCACTTGGAAATGCACCAAAGCACAGGTCCCTTTATTATAGCAGCCTGACCTGTACCTAACTAACTTCTCTGCTAAGAAGCCCACATGTGCAGTACCGTACCTGTGGCAGTTGGGGAACTGGGGGGCGGGGCTTGTGGATCCTACAATACCTATGCAGTCTGCATTTCAGTCTTCTGCCCAGGCACATACCCAGGTAGCAGGGCCTCTGCAGAACCTTCTGTCTCTATCTTGGTTCCACATGATGCATTTGGACTGGGAGAGTCCCCACTTCCTGGCTGGACACCTGGCCCAGGTGTGGTCTGCTAGAGAAGTCTATCCCCAGCTTCAGTGGTTGGATCAGGGAAGGAAGGTAACTAAGAGAGGTACTGTATGCCTGGAGCCCAAAGAGGACACTTGTGCCTGCTCTTTGATGGAGAGTGAGCTTGTGGCCATGGTCTTACATTTGACCAGCCAGGAATGAACAGAGACCAACTCTGGGCGGCACAGGAACACAGAGTACTTCCTGATGCAGATGCTTAAGCACTTACTACTGCTCAACCTAGGGCCATCCAACAGCAGGCTTCCACTGTAGGGACCAGTAAATACTTCCTTCTGGAAGCCTCTGCCAGTCTGAGTTGCAATTTTGAACTAGTTGCTTCATTTGGAGCTTTGGCCAATTTGACTAGGAGTTTCTTGTTCACAAATACTCCCACAGAAAAGCTTGGCTGATAAACTTGATTCAGTGAAGCAAAATGGCCTACCATGTACATCCTCCATCCCCCACCCCATGCATTTCTCAGGCCCCTCCCCACACTTCACAATGCCCAGATCTTTTTTCATCACTGTTCCTGCTTTACAGTTGAAGAAGCTGAGGCTCTGTGATATGGCAGGATCCCATGCAACCAGCACACACTGTCCTTCCTCCACTGTCCCAAGCACCGTGACCGAAGACCAGGCACCCCTTGGCAAGGTGCTCTGAGGGTCTG